CAAGGAAGATTGACATCACTATAATGACAGATCCTGATACAAGGAAGATTGACATCACTATAATGACAGATCAAGGAAGATTGACATGATACAAGGAAGATTGACATCACTATAATGACAGATCTTGATAATACAAGGAAGATTGACATCACTATAATGACAGATCATGATACAAGGAAGATTGACATCACTATAATGACAGATCCTGATACAAGGAAGATTGACATCACTGTAATGACAGATCCTGATACAAGGAAGATTGACATCACTATAATGATAGATCCTGATACAAGGAAGATTGACATCACTATAATGACAGATCCTGATACAAGAAAGATTGACATCACTATAATGATAGATCCTGATACAAGGAAGATTGACATCACTATAATGACAGATCCTGATACAATAAAGATTGACATCACTATAATGACAGATCCTGATACAAGGAAGATTGATTGACATCACTATAATCACTATAATGACAGATCATGATACAAGGAAGATTGACATCACTATAATGACAGATCCTGATACAAGGAAGATTGACACCACTATAATGACAGATCCTGATACAAGGAAGATTGACACCACTATGATGACAGATCCTGATACAAGGAAGATTGACATCACTATGATGACAGATCCTGATACAAGGAAGATTGACATCACTATAATGACAGATCCTGATACAAGGAAGATTGACATCACTATAATGACAGATCCTGATACAAGGAAGATTGACATCACTATAATGACATTCCTATTTCTATATTTCATCTATTTGTATTTTGTCTAGGAACTTCTTTTTACAGCTTCATTTGAAATATCGGTCAAGTTTTACTTCATACTGATTGAGTAGCAAGAGTGAATTATAAGGGAGATAATCACTTCCTTAGCACATTGATATGTTAATTCCCAATCATCCTCTGCTAAGGAGTCTGACTCTATCACAGTCCCTGTAGAAATCATACTGAAGTTCAACAAGTGTACACTGTCTGTGACAACCTGACCCATCAATACTGCGGTTTTCTACATCATGAGTACTATAATGGGTAAATATAATGTGTAAGACACATAAAAATATGAAGCTTATGTATAAACAATGACTACTAGACAGAGACTACAGAGGACCTGTCTAGTGGGTGAATTCATTCTAAATAAAATACTCATATTGAGTCAGAATCACCCAGGCTCTTGTTTATCTCCAGATAGACTGTGATTACATGTCACCAGGGTAAATAGTTTTAAATCAATTTGTCTGGAATTGATGGTGACAGACACCTTAATTCTATAGAACCACTGACACTGTCTGGAGTGCTTCTATTGGTAGATAAAAAGGTTGCCCTAGCAATCAGACAAGGTATTAAGGATGCACAGACCTTACTGGTAAGGTTACTCAAGTTTTAAATACTCATGAATAGACAAGGGAATGATAAAAACTTGGGTCCAGGAAATGAAATTCAGGGTACAGATGATGATTGTATAGTGTTAAGTCTGTCTAGTGCCAATAAAACATGTGATGATGTATGGCTATTGTCCGACACAAGTTCATAAACAACCTTATAACTGTCTCTAGTTTCTACAAATACTTCACAGTAATCACTTTCTTCCCAGTCCTACTGAGTATTTATGAGATATTAAACATGAGATATATAGACACTGTTTTTTTTTTTTTTGTATTTTTCTCTCCAATTTCTGCTGCAATACAAGCTCTCTAAATCCATCAATTCTTAAACCCAGAAGTACCTAAAAAAATTGACATTTAAAACATGATACAGAGTAGTAGGAATTGTTAGTAAACTTGTATCAACCTCCTCATCATAGTGATACTGGGCAGTTTGTCCTCATAGGTTAAACAGCATTTAGTGAAGCATCTAGCTATGTACTACAGGGTAGCCGTCATATCCAGACACATATTAATGACAGGGTATTGACCCCAACCAGGTTAGTGGTACTGATAAACACAGTTAAGATAGGGCATAGTTCTTAACCAGGTTAGTGGTACTGATAAACACAGTTATGATAGGGTATAAATCTTAACCAGGTTAGTGGTACTGATAAACACAATTAAGATAGGGCACAGATCCTAACCAGGTTAGTGGTACTGATAAACAAAGTTAAGATAGGGTATAGATCTTAACCAGGTTAGTGGTACTGATAAATACAGTTAAGTTAGGGTATAGATCTTAACCAGGTTAGTGGTACTGATAAACACAGTTAAGATAGGGTACAGATCCTAACCAGGTTAGTGGTACAAATAAATGCAGTTAGGTCAGGGAACAGACACTAACCAGGTTAGCAGTACATGTAAAAGCCATTATGATGATTTAAGCAACACACAAGAACATCGCGACAGAATGTATTCATTCAATATTCATTACTTAATTACCAAGCAGTTTCAGATGATCTACTTTGTCAAATTTATAAACATTTCCTACTTTTTTCTATTCCTAGCTTAGAACAATACTAGAAAAGTATACAGCAGACAGAGGAAGGTTATAGATAAAGTTGGTTATTTGTGTGGATGCTGGTATGAGTGGATTTATAAAGGGGTATACAAGCTGGATATCTCTGGTATAAAAAGTTACTAGCAAAACTGGTGTGCCAAAAACTGTCTAACAATGTCGCTGGCAAAACTGCCAAAAACTGTCTAACAATGTCACAGGCAAAACACTGCCAAAAACTGTCTAACAATGTCACTGGCAACACTGCCAAAAACTGTCTAACATTGTCGCTGGCAAAACTGCCAAAAACTGTCTAACAATGTCACTGGCAAACTGCCAAAAACTGTCTAACAATGTCACTGGCAACACTGCCAAAAACTGTCTAACAATGTCGCTGGCAAAACTGCCAAAAACTGTTTAACATTGTCGCTGGCAAAACTGCCAAAAACTGTCTAACAATGTCGCTGGCAACACTGCCAAAAACTGTCTAACAATGTTGCTGGCAAAACTGCCAAAAACTGTCTAACAATGTCGCTGGCAAAACTGCCAAAAACTGTCTAACAATGTCACTGGCAACACTGCCAAAAACTGTCTAACAATGTCACTGGCAACACTGCCAAAAACTGTCTAACAATGTCGCTGGCAAAACTGCCAAAAACTGTCTAACAATGTCACTGGCAAAACTGCCAAAAACTGTCTAACAATGTCCCTGGCAACACTGCCAAAAACTGTCTAACAATGTCGCTGGCAAAACTGCCAAAAACTGTCTAACAATGTCACTGGCAAAACTGCCAAAAACTGTCTAACAATGTCGCTGGCAAAACTGCCAAAAACTGTCTAACAATGTCACTGGCAACACTGCCAAAAACTGTCTAACAATGTTGCTGGCAAAACTGCCAAAAACTGTCTAACAATGTCACTGGCAACACTGCCAAAAACTGTCTAACAATGTCACTGGCAACACTGCCAAAAACTGTCTAACAATGTCACTGGCAACAATGCCAAAAACTGTCTAACAATGTCACTGGCAACACTGCCAAAAACTGTCTAACAATGTTGCTGGCAAAACTGCCAAAAACTGTCTAACAATGTCACTGGCAAAATTGCCAAAAACTGTCTAACAATGTCACTGGCAAAACTGGTGTCAAAATGCCACAAATCTGTGTAACAATGTACTTGGAATAACTGGTGTGCTACTGATCTGTCTTACAATTAAAAAAGTGAAAAAGACAGGTTAAGCAGAATAATGCAAGATATATAGGCTGATCTAGCTTCTAGCCCCACCCCCACAATGTTAAAGTTTTACTTCTATAGTACCCTAGCCCCGCCCCCACAATGTTAAAGTTTTACTTTTATAGTACCCTTGCCCTTCCCCACAATGTTAAAGTTTTACTTCTATAGTACCCTAGCCCCGCCCCCACAGTGTTGAAGTTTTACTTCTATAGTACCCTAGCCCCACCCCCACAATGTTGAATTTTTACTTCTATAGTACCCTATGCCAGTCCTAGCATGATAGAATGTACTACTGTAATTCCAAAAGCCAAACTGGTCTAAAAATTCACCAACAAACATCAGACACTTGTAATATCTTTTATGTTTGATGAAAGCCTATGTATTTGATGTCTCCCTGATGACAATGTTACATGTATCAAACTACATCACATTGTCTATACGGTGTCAAGATGCCTTCTCTGCGGTTATGCTGGTCAAATTTCACGAAACATATGATACAGTCAAACAAAAATTTGATTCCCATTTTAGAAGTGAAAATGGATGATACCATCTCACGTAAATTATTCCTACCATAAAGTCAACAAATCACGTCAGTGTTATGTTGGTGAATTTCAGATCATATAAACAACAATACAATTAATTTTCTCATTAACTCAAGTCTACTGTACATGTAGAATTGGACTCTTTCTAAACACAGATTTAATCTAGGTATAATGTAGTAAAACCTGACTTGACATCGCCTTCATTAAATGAAAGTGTTTCAGAACCACATAAGGACTTTTGAATGACGGTCCCTGAATTTAGCTTTGTTTGAATTTTGGAAGTGTCTCAAAAACTTGATTTCTAGTGCAGTAGACTTGTACAAATCAGTGAGCCATGTAAAGCCTTGAAAGTGTACAATGGAAACAACAGCAGTTGTCACAACAGTTTCAAAGCTTTACACATCATCTGTTTTGGCTCCTTGTGATATATTAACAGGATTGTGTTAATTGTACACATATCATTGTGTTAATGGTCTCAGACAGGCACGTAATTATATTCTCATTCTACTGCCAAAATTTAAAATCAAGATGCAATTTCTAATAAAAAAAATTGCATCAATTTTGAAATATCATTTTTATGTTTTGTTTTTTAGAAATAATATCAAATCATGATACATAAATAAGGATCAATTAAAGTGAAATGTTTTCAACCCATGTCTGTTTCAATCAGTAAAGTCCCTTCCATGTTTGTGTGAGACCACTTCCACATTTGTTAATAAGGTTACCAGTTGTTAAGCAGGTTAAAGCGAGGACAGCCCAGCACACTACTCACCCTTACCCTCGGGAAGTGCTGGGAACTTTGGACGTGACGGTAATGGACAAGTTACCGTCTCACCATTGATCTGTGCTGCGGTCTTGGATGTCGTGTCCTGTCCAGAGAAGTAACACAGGAGCTCAACATCCCCTGAATCTCTTGGGTTCAACATGATCTCTTCCAGTCTAAATGTTATCTGTCAATAAATTGGATTCCTCTAAAATACACATACATACAGCTATAGAGTCTAGCCCCTCTGACAGGGTGCCAGTTTGGCTACTTATAAAATGAAAAATTAAAACATCTTAAGAGTCATCATAAATACATCATCTCCATTTCAGTTTTTTAAATTAAGAATTATTATACAAAATTAAATAAGTCAATTTGACCCCTTCTTGCCCTTCTCCTGAAGCTCCTAGGTAGTTGAGGAGCACATCAATTTACCGTTTTCGTTCACTATTGCCAAGGAAGGTTTCAGCGAAATTTCATTAAAATAAGTTCGGTGGTTTTCAAAAAGAAGTAAAATATGTAAATTGCTTATACATGCACAACAGGCTATACATTACAAGGGATTGTAATAGGTAACTAAAAATAAAACACAATCATGATAATATGTAAAAGCAAAGGTCCTTGTAAAGATCTGTTATACTGGAACTGAAATTTCAGTACACATAGTGTGTGTTGTATGAGTGGTTCATAACTGGTACAAAGTTATATACAATGTACAATTATATATAACAGTGAGTAGTTGATATGACAAATTCCAGAACCTAACATAATTAAATATTAATCTACATAACAGTATACATAAGGATATTGTACCTACTGAGATCAAAACCATGATCAATACTGATAAGAAACTGATAGTCAATCATTCTATAAGTGCATATAAGATTTATTAACTTGACAAAAAAAAAATTTTGTGACTTATCTGAATTCCACTTGACACCACCCTACATGCTGATGTCAAAAATCAAATGACACCAATGCATTGTAAGGTGAGGGATCCAGACAACTAAATAAGAAAAATCTATCTAATCGGGTTTGGTGATGTACAACTCTATTTGGGCGTGGTGTTTTCATTACTATAAATAGCACTGCCAAATATGTTCTTCCTATTATATCCCACACATGTATCACCTGCTGTTTTTCCTTTTCCGTGTCCAGTTTTTCATAACTCAGGATGTGGGGCTGGACTTCTACCATCTTTGCACATGCTCCTTGCTTAGCAGGCAACCAGTGAGGGTACACAGCTGAGGAGGGACAACTTCCCTGCTCCAGGCACCTGTTATAGTCAAAGTCACATCAAGGTTACAGCAAGGTTATATCAAGGTTACATCAAAGTCACATCAAGGTTATATCAAGGTGATACCAAGTTCACAGTGAACAGAGAGAACAACTTACACACTAGTATATCTTAAATGTGACATGAAATATTTGCTTGCAGAAATGGTTTTGTTACTTCAGTAAATATATTAGCTGCAATATACCGCTTAGCAAGAGAGGTCTTCTCTTTAGTTCATTTGGTTGAGCAGTAGTTCCCTGTTAGATAACCAAAAGGTAGGCTGCTGACATCAATTGTTGTCAGGTTTTGATAATAAGTAAATTATGTTCCTCATAAACAATATCAAAATCTGACTGTACTGCAGGAGCTATTTTATCTTTCAATGTATTACGGTAAATTATTGCATGTTGCATTCCACAGGAACAGGAAACAAACACCAGAACTGTTCGGTCTCACAAATATGATTACTGTCATTTTCTTTTCATATGGGCTCCTAGCAGTTATCCCCCTTTTTTTGCTATATTTAATCACTATCCAGGTAGATATGTTTTTCACAGCGAAATAAAAAATGAACATATAAACTTTTTCTTTTAACATAGTCAGTTTTGATACGACCTGAACCGCACATTGATGTTGTTTACTAAGAGATTTGTGTATAAAACATTAGATATACTGTGGTCCTGGGTTTGATTCCTAGGGAAGGCAGTGAAATAAATAAAGACCTCTGTCATATTAGTATCAATGTAGGGAGGAAGCAATAACTCTTAATAGCTCACCCAGTTAGGCATACATAAACTCAACATCTGAGGTTTAGTGCTCCCTGTCCACTGTAATGACCACTTGGTTTCCAGTGGTTACCACAGGTTACTGTGGTACAACACTCACCACAGTAAATTGTAAATGTTATAGAATTTACACCTGGTTTCCAGTGGTTACCACAGGTTACTGTGGTGCAATACTCACCACAGTAAATTGTAAATGTTATAGAACTTACACCTGGTTTCCAGTGGTTACCACAGGTTACTGTGGTACAACACTCACCACAGTAAATTGTAAATGTTATAGAACTTACACCTGGTTTCCAGTGGTTACCACAGGTTACTGTGGTACAATACTCACCACAGTAAATTGTAAATGTTATAGAACTTACACCTGGTTTCCAGTGGTTACCACAGGTTACTGTGGTACAATACTCACCACAGTAAATCGTAAATGTTATAGAACTTACACCTGGTTTCCAGTGGTTACCACAGGTTACCATGATGCAATGCTAACTTCAGTGCTAACCTTATGAAGAGTAAATGTTATAGGCCTTTTCCCTTGCTTCCAGCGGTTACCATAGGTGACAAAGTACAGCAGAGTAAATTGTGTGCAACTAACCACTTGTCTTTAGTGGTTACCACAGGTTGCCATACTGCAGTAGGAACCACTGTGAAGTGTAAATGTTATAGAGACAATCTCTGGTTTCTTATGGTTACTATAGGTGACCATGGTTTAATGCAAATGGGTTTTGAAGTCCATATGAATGAGTGAAATAATTTTTAATAGAACCTGAACTGTTTTATTAAAATTGACTGATATTGGTTTGAAAAAGTTGGAAGCGAAATTTCATATCCAGAGTTAAAATCAGATGTGCAGACGGTATTTGTGTGAACCACATACTGGTATACCTCAGGGAGTCCATTCTGAGCCCAGCCAACAGCTGTGGTTTACAGCAGTTGTTTCCCTTCAATACAGTGAGGCGTTAACATCTTCACATCTTCAAAATTCAAAGGCATTTTAATGTCTTTTAAAGCAAAGGGGAATAAAAGATAACACCACCCACTCTGCAACATATGAATATTTTACTATCTCCAGTCTAGTCTGGATTTACACTGCATTGTTTTTAATGCTTTCTTTCAATTCCTGAACACTCTACAGAATAAAACTTAAAATCGTTGAATTGACTCCAGTCACCCACAATCTAGTTTCCTATTAACCTAACCTCTGTATTTCAGGAGCATGAAAAGAAACAAAACTTCAAGAATGAATTATTTACTAATGTAAACACACAATGAATGATGAGTAATTCAAACGATCTGGAAGATCGAACTTTGTGATGATTAAATTCATTCATAGATACAACTCCAAGAGAGGTGACAAGGAAGTGTGACAGATGAACAGAAGAATAACAGACATACAGACAGAAGGAACATACACATCATACTCCCTGTTTAATAGAGACCATTATCATCATACTTAACCAGTAATACTGGTTATGGGGACCAGAATAGAAAAACAGCACAGTTTCATCTTTCTTTCAACCAATCATGTCGTAAATCCAAACAAAATGGCAAGTTATGGAATGATATTCTCTTTATTGTAGTAGTAACTTCCAAATACTGATCCCTCTCAATTCTGAATACTGATCTTATTTCTTGCCTGGAAATTATCAAAATATACTGAAAATCATTTCTGCAAACCAGCCATATCTAAGGGATCAAAACCGAAGTTTGGATTAGCGGCATGTAAAAGCAACACCTGTGGTGACCAATAAAGCTTTGTTCCTCAGGCATGTCATGTTGTGGGTTGGCTTTGTACGCACCCAATCAAGAGGATTGTTAGTAACATTTCATTATCACCAATAACAGGATGAAACCATATCGAACCAATTTATCTTTTCATCAAAGTCAGTAAGGGCTACTACACAAAGTGAAAATATGTACTAATGCAGGGCCAGAAAGCCAAAGCTCCATATCTTATTTGTGAGTCATGAAATATGCTATTGAAACACCTACAAAAAGGAAAAGATAAAGGACTGTTGTTTTGAAAGATAATTTTGTTGAACTAACCAATGAAAACACCAGTTCATTAAATATTCATTGGTCGTAAGCACTTTCCTACATATATAAGCTGGGTAGCCGGATATGTAATGTAAGTAAGTGCCGCCAGCCAGTACATAAATACCTTTGGTTTTTTTCTTTCTGTATTCAGTTTGGTATGTGCAGTGTAAATGTTCAATGTGAACAGAATTGTTAATGTGATGTACTGAAGGAGTTGGAACAATAACATGGGGTCTGAACCAATCAACTTCCTTCATGAATCAAACCCTCCCTTAACTGGCCAAACGTTAATGTCAGATGCATGGTCACTGTAGAAAAGTTCCTTTGTACATCAATGTACTTTTTTCTATCAAAACATGTTGGGTCTTATGAGCAAAGACAGTATCGTGTTGAACATATACCTACCTATACTCAATGTCAGGTGAACTAGGATAGTGACACATAGTACATATCATACCTGTTCTCCATAACACACATGCCACACACAGGGTCAGGTGAACTAGGATAGTGACACAAAGTTCTTATCATACCTGTTCTCCATAACATATCAGCCACACACAGGGTCAGGTGAACTAGGATAGTGACACAAAGTACTTATCATACCTGTTCTCCATAACACACATGCCACACACAGGGTCAGGTGAACTAGGATAGTGACACAAAGTTCTTATCATACCTGTTTCGCCATAACACACTAGCCACACACAGGGTCAGGTGAACTAGGATAGTGACACAAAGTTCTTATCATAACTGTTCTCCATAACACACTAGCCACACACAGGGTCAGGTGAACTAGGATAGTGACACAAAGTACTTATCATAACTGTTCTCCATAACACACTAGCCACACACAGGGTCAGGTGAACTAGGATAGTGACACAAAGTTCTTATCATAACTGTTCTCCATAACACACTAGCCACACACAGGGTCAGGTGAACTAGGATAGTGACACAAAGTACTTATCATACCTGTTCTCCATAACACACTAGCCACACACAGGGTCAGGTGAACTAGGATAGTGACACAAAGTACTTATCATAACTGTTCTCCATAACACACTAGCCACACACAGGGTCAGGTGAACTAGGATAGTGACACAAAGTTCTTATCATAACTGTTCTCCATAACACACTAGCCACACACAGGGTCAGGTGAACTAGGATAGTGACACAAAGTACTTATCATACCTGTTCTCCATAACACACTAGCCACACACAGGGTCAGGTGAACTAGGATAGTGACACAAAGTTCTTATCATAACTGTTCTCCATAACACACTAGCCACACACAGGGTCAGGTGAACTAGGATAGTGACACAAAGTTCTTATCATACCTGTTCTCCATAACACACCAGCCACACACAGGGTCAGGTGAACTAGGATAGTGACACATAGCATTTATCATACCTGTTCTCCATAACACACCAGCCACACACAGGGTCGGGTGGACCAGTACAGTCTTCACAAGTAGCTTTCTCTTCACAATGTCGGAGATCCACCAGCACGAGCTGAAATATCAAGTTGACAAGTCATTACAGAAACTTTTACAAAATCTGGAAATTGCTTAATGTGACCTTGACCTAGATCAAAGTATTGTCCTGACTAGTTCTAAGTTGTATGATACTGCATAGCAATACAACATGTTATAGTAAGATACACATGTGAAATGCCTACAAATGCTTTAATTATTTCTTTGTGGATAAAATTGTATTTCTTTTTATACTTAACCTCTGATTATAAACTTAAATGATCTGGGAAGAGGCACATCTGAGCACTGATTGGTACATAAGGTGACTTGTGGAGTGATAAAGTGAATCCATTTTTTTTGTTTTTCCTGATTAAACGATCAATAACGAAATAGAATGTTATCAGATATATACAAAAGGAAAGTGGGAAGGGAGATGACTCTCTATCCGGTAAATCAAAACAAGTCACATTGTAGTGCCGGGATAAATATAATGTTAGTTAAAGATCAAAAGAGTTCAGAAAAAAAGCCCATGTTTGTAACATAATGTTTGAAACAGCCATTGTAGAAAAAACACATCAAGAAACAATGTATCAGGAAGGTTTCTAATTTATATGCGGGAGTACAACATTGATGCATCATCTTCTCTTGTATGAACAGGAACAGGAAATGGTTAATGTAATGCTCTGTCAAAAGGCGGGTAGGACAAAAACATATTGTTAGCACCGTGTTCCTGACAATAAATTATTGATCTTACACATTATACTGACAGACTGCACAAACAAATCTTACTCTACAGACAAAACTACATTTCCATTTTCTTTTGGTTTGTAAGATAAAAAAATTGTAAAATGCGCACAAAACAACAGCACATAATGGTCCATCATGTCTCCACAACAGTATATAATGGACTGGAATGTAGTCTGTCTCCCTATCAGTAATATCTTCAGGGTCACAATTTATCTCAGATAACAAGAAAACAAAATAAGTCTTATTCTTAACAATGTTTTTTTCTTTATAATTCAGTCATATACTTGGTAATTCAACTTATATAAAACTTGTCCCTAGTGACTATGTCTTCAGCAACTGTGTAAAACTTGTCCCTAGTGACTATCACAGATGTCTCCAGCAACTGTGTAAAACTTTTCCCTAGTGACTATGTCTTCAGCAACTGTGTAAAACTTGTCCCTAGTGACTACCACAGATGTCTTCAGCAACAGTGTAAAACTTGTCCCTAGTGACTATCACAGATGTCTCCAGCAACTGTGTAAAACTTTTCCCTAGTGACTATGTCTTCAGCAACTGTGTAAAACTTGTCCCTAGTGACTACCACAGATGTCTTCAGCAACAGTGTAAAACTTGTCCCTAGTGACTACCACAGATGTCTTCAGCAACAGTGTAAAACTTGTCCCTAGTGACTACCACAGATGTCTTCAGCAACTGTGTAAAACTTGTCCCTAGTGACTACCACAGATGTCTTCAGCAACAGTGTAAAACTTGTCCCTAGTGACTACCACAGATGTCTTCAGCAACTGTGTAAAACTTGTCCCTAGTGACTACCACAGATGTCTTCAGCAACTATGTAAAACTTGTCCCTAGTGACTACCACAGATATCTTCAGCAACTGTGTAAAACTTGTCCCTAGTGACTATCACAGATGTCTTCAGCAACTGTGTAAAACTTGTCCCTAGTGACTACCACAGATGTCTTTAGCAACTGTGTAAAACTTGTCCCTAGTGACTACCACAGATGGCTTCAGCAACAGTGTAAAACTTGTCCCTAGTGACTATGTCTTCAGCAACTGTGTAAAACTTGTCCCTAGTGACTACCACAGATGTCTTCAGCAACAGTGTAAAACTTGTCCCTAGTGACTACCACAGATGTCTTCAGCAACAGTGTAAAACTTGTCCCTAGTGACTACCACAGATGTCTTCAGCAACAGTGTAAAACTTGTCCCTAGTGACTACCACAGATGTCTTCAGCAACAGTGTAAAACTTGTCCCTAGTGACTACCACAGATGTCTTCAGCAACAGTGTAAAACTTGTCCCTAGTGACTACCACAGATGTCTTCAGCAACTATGTAAAACTTGTCCCTAGTGACTACCACAGATGTCTTCAGCAACTGTGTAAAACTTGTCCCTAGTGACTACCACAGATGTCTTTAGCAACTGTGTAAAACTTGTCCCTAGTGACTACCACAGATGGCTTCAGCAAATGTGTAAAACTTGTCCCTAGTGACTATGTCTTCAGCAACTGTGTAAAACTTGTCCCTAGTGACTACCACAGATGTCTTCAGCAACAGTGTAAAACTTGTCCCTAGTGACTACCACAGATGTCTTCAGCAACAGTGTAAAACTTGTCCCTAGTGACTACCACAGATGTCTTCAGCAACAGTGTAAAACTTGTCCCTAGTGACTACCACAGATGTCTTCAGCAACAGTGTAAAACTTGTCCCTAGTGACTACCACAGATGTCTTCAGCAACTGTGTAAAACTTGTCCCTAGTGACTACCACAGATGTCTTCAGCAACTGTGTAAAACTTGTCCCTAGTGACTACCACAGATGGCTTCAGCAACTGTGTAAAACTTGTCCCTAGTGACTATGTCTTCAGCAACTATGTAAAACTTGTCCCTAGTGACTACCACAGATATCTTCAGCAACTGTGTAAAACTTGTCCCTAGTGACTATCACAGATGTCTTCAGCAACTGTGTACAACTTGTCTGTCATACATTCCTCTAAAACCAACACCAATACCTTATTGTGTTCAGAAATAAAGGGTAGAAGTTGTAGTTTCCTTCTATTAGAAGCAATCATTCAACTACAAGACAACCTGTGGTGTTTCTTCTTCCAATATTTAACTTCAGTGAATAAAAAATGGTATCCATGAGCACCAAAGAGAATGGCACTTAATGGCCGAAATGAAAGAAATTGTCTGTGTAATGTTACTTGTTAAAAAAAGTCTAAAAACAAAGCACTAGATTTGTTGTGTAGACGACATCAGAGGGTATTCTTCCTGCTGCAGTTTGTAATCAAAACAGAGGCAGTGAAAATAAAGATGCAGATTGCCTGATGATGACTGACAAGTACTGGTTTCCAAATGTTCAGACTTGTTATTTCCTGCAATATTTTTTACCACCAGTCATTTTTTTTTCAGGAATAGAAAGCCATTGGTGATATTTAAGGATCTAGATATCTATTCCCTTTACACGTCACATTGGCTGCGACTGTAGGATTAATGTACACTGCTGTCATCAGACATTCCTAGAAACATAGGTATACCATATCTTATAGCTGAGAAAAAGACATCTAAACATAGCCAAGAGAGAGACGTCTTAATCACACAGCATCACATACAGCATCTATTTGTATCAAGGAGAGCAACTTTCTCTAATTTTTTCTCAGTCGTAATGCTTTTTCTATTCACATGCGAATTTATCCCATCACAACATCAATTAGAAAAACTGATAAAATGGCAAAATAATGACCAAAAAAATTATCAACTCCACAACAGTTACTGCCTCCAGTCCTCCACAAGTCTGACTTCTTGATTAGCATTGTGACTTCCTGAACCTGGTGACCATTATTGTTATCTCCTGATCTTGTGATCAGTATTGTGACCTCCTCACCTTGTGATCAGTATTATAAACTTCTCACCTGGTCACCATAATTGTGACCTCCTCACCTTGTGATCAGTATTGTGACCTCCTCACCTTGTGACCATTATTGTGACCTTCTCACTTTGTGACCATAATTGTGATCTCCTCACCTTGTGACCATTATTGTGACCTTCTCACTTTGTGACCATTATTGTGACCTCACTTTGTGACCATAATTGTGATCTCCTCACCTTGTGATCAGTACTGTGACCTCCTCACCTTGTGACCATTATTGTGGTCAGTATTATTAACTCTTGACCTTATGGTCTGCATTGTGACATTATGATCTGTGTTATGACCTCCAGACCTTTTGATCAGTAGTTAGACCTCATGAGCTTGTGAACATTGTGACCTTTGAACTTGTTTGATTGATCTGTTTTTTTTTTTTAACTTACTTACCTTGTGGTCTGTGATGACATACAACATGCTGAAGTCTTTGTTGAAGTGCATCTCATTTTTGATTGCTTGACCGACCTCAATTTCCAAATCCTGGACCACTGACACAATATTTCCTGGAGACTGGATCACCTGGATAGTAAAAGTTACAGAAGTGGGTTATTGTCTGTACAGGGTAACAGTTACAGAAGTGGGTTAATGTCTGTACAGGATAACAGTTACAGAAGTGGGTTATTGTCTGTACAGGGTAACAGTTACAGAAGTGGGTTATTGTCTGTACAGGGTAACAGTTACAGAAGTGGGTTATTGTCTGTACAGGATAACAGTTACAGAAGTGGGTTATTGTCTGTACAGGGTAACAGTTACAGAAGTAGGTTATTGTCTGTACAGGGTAAACATTACAGAAGTGTGTTATTGTCTGTACAGGGTAACCATTACAGAAGTGTGTTATTGCTGTACAGGGTAATAGTTACAGAAGTAGGTTATTGTCTGTACAGGGTAAACATTACAGAAGTGTGTTATTGTCTGTACAGGGTAACCATTACAGAAGTGTGTTATTGTCTGTACAGGGTAACAGTTACAGAAGTGGGTTAATGTCTGTACAGGGTAACCATTACAGAAGTGTGTTATTGTCTGTACAGGGTAACAGTTACAGAAGTGGGTTAATGTCTGTACAGGATAACAGTTACAGATGTGGGTTATTGTCTGTACAGGGTAACAGTTACAGAAGTGGGTTATTGTCTGTACAGGGTAACAGTTACAGAAGTGGGTTAATGTCTGTACAGGATAACAGTTACAGAAGTGGGTTATTGTCTGTACAGGGTAACAGTTACAGAAGTGGGTTATTGCTGTACAGGGTAACAGTTACAGAAGTAGGTTATTGTCTGTACAGGGTAAACATTACAGAAGTGTGTTATTGTCTGTACAGGGTAACCATTACAGAAGTGTGTTATTGCTGTACAGGGTAATAGTTACAGAAGTAGGTTATTGTCTGTACAGGGTAAACATTACAGAAGTGTGTTATTGTCTGTACAGGGTAACCATTACAGAAGTGTGTTATTGTCTGTACAGGGTAACAGTTACAGAAGTGGGTTAATGTCTGTACAGGGTAACCATTACAGAAGTGTGTTATTGCCTGTACAGGGTAACAGTTACAGAAGTGGGTTAATGTCTGTACAGGATAACAGTTACAGATGTGGGTTATTGTCTGTACAGGGTAACAGTTACAGAAGTGGGTTATTGTCTGTACAGGGTAACAGTTACAGAAGTGGGTTAATGTCTGTACAGGATAACAGTTACAGAAGTGGGTTATTGTCTGTACAGGGTAACAGTTACAGAAGTGGGTTATTGCTGTACAGGGTAACAGTTACAGAAGTGGGTTATTGTCTGTACAGGGTAACAGTTACAGAAGTAGGTTATTGTCTGTACAGGATAACAATTACAGAAGTGGGTTATTGTCTGTACAGGGTAACAGTTACAGAAGTGGGTTATTGTCTGTACAGGGTAACAGTTACAGAAGTGGGTTAATGTCTGTACAGGATAACAGTTACAGAAGTGGGTTATTGTCTGTACAGGATAACAGTTACAGAAGTGGGTTATTGTCTGTACAGGGTAACAGTTACAGAAGTGGGTTAATGTCTGTACAGGATAACAGTTACAGAAGTGGGTTATTGTCTGTACAGGGTAACAGTTACAGAAGTGGGTTATTGCTGTACAGGGTAACAGTTACAGAAGTGGGTTATTGTCTGTACAGGGTAACAGTTACAGAAGTAGGTTATTGTCTGTACAGGGTAACAGTTACAGAAGTGGGTTAATGTCTGTACAGGATAACAGTTACAGAAGTGGGTTATTGTCTGTACAGGATAACAGTTACAGAAGTGGGTTATTGTCTGTACAGGGTAACAGTTACAGAAGTAGGTTATTGTCTGTACAGGATAACAATTACAGAAGTGGGTTATTGTCTGTACAGGGTAACAGTTACAGAAGTAGGTTATTGTCTGTACAGGGTAACAGTTACTGAAATAGGTTATTATCTGTACAGGGTAATAGTCTCAGAAGTGGGTTATTGTCTGTACAGGGTAACAGTTACAGAAGTAGGTTATTGTCTGTACAGGGTAACAGTTACTGAAATAGGTTATTATCTGTACAGGATAACAGTTACAGAAGTGGGTTATTGTCTGTACAGGGTAACAGTTACAGAAGTGGGTTATTGCTGTACAGGGTAACAGTTACAGAAGTGGGTTATTGTCTGTACAGGGTAACAGTTACAGAAGTAGGTTATTGTCTGTACAGGATAACAATTACAGAAGTGGGTTATTGTCTGTACAGGGTAACAGTTACAGAAGTGGGTTATTGTCTGTACAGGGTAACAGTTACAGAAGTGGGTTAATGTCTGTACAGGATAACAGTTACAGAAGTGGGTTATTGTCTGTACAGGATAACAGTTACAGAAGTGGGTTATTGTCTGTACAGGGTAACAGTTACAGAAGTGGGTTAATGTCTGTACAGGATAACAGTTACAGAAGTGGGTTATTGTCTGTACAGGGTAACAGTTACAGAAGTGGGTTATTGCTGTACAGGGTAACAGTTACAGAAGTGGGTTATTGTCTGTACAGGGTAACAGTTACAGAAGTAGGTTATTGTCTGTACAGGGTAACAGTTACAGAAGTGGGTTAATGTCTGTACAGGATAACAGTTACAGAAGTGGGTTATTGTCTGTACAGGATAACAGTTACAGAAGTGGGTTATTGTCTGTACAGGGTAACAGTTACAGAAGTAGGTTATTGTCTGTACAGGATAACAATTACAGAAGTGGGTTATTGTCTGTACAGGGTAACAGTTACAGAAGTAGGTTATTGTCTGTACAGGGTAACAGTTACTGAAATAGGTTATTATCTGTACAGGGTAATAGTCTCAGAAGTGGGTTATTGTCTGTACAGGGTAACAGTTACAGAAGTAGGTTATTGTCTGTACAGGGTAACAGTTACTGAAATAGGTTATTATTATCTGTACAGGGTAATAGTCTCAGAAGTGGGTTATTGTCTGTACAGGGTAAACATTACAGAAGTAGATATATATAAGTATATAGTAACAGTAACAGTTGTGTGACCATAGTGGGTATTCTACACTTTCAGCCCTGCCCATCAGCCTCTCAGCATCATCCAGGATCAACTGGTTTAATTTGTACATACCATCAACCTGTCATTCTAAACTTATAATTTTATTCTAGTTTAAGCTATTTCCAATGGAAATTAACCAAAATTTCCTCAAAACCTATATACAGTAGGTAAACCTCTGGTCAGTTTGATTATGCGGGTAATATGAACATGTGATTTTTTCAATAAAACCAGTTGTTGCTGTCTAGTGATAGCTTAAATCCTTTCTGTTTTGTTTCACTTTCAATTTGAATTGTTCCAACATATTTGATTCATAAAAGCATTGGTGTTGCAATTATCTCTCCATGTGGTCACTATTCACATCGACATTAACCACTGTGGGCAGCAGGCTGTAAATGACCATCGTAAGCAATTGACAGCATCAGATTATAAACATATATGTTGCTTAATTAGCATTAATTTGTAATGTGATTTATTTCATATCTTGCGTAACATCGTGCACACGCCAGCTGACACAAATTGTAACAAACATAAATGCGTAGTCATTTCAATCTACACTCCACATACCAATATGTCTACACTAATTTCTGCCAAAACACAAGCAGAATTGTGCTTTTTAAGGCTGGTTTCTTCATCATGGTATCCAAAGTTATGAAGATCAGAAAGAAACATGTGATTTCTTAACAGCTGATTAGCATGTATTACAGTACAGTGAGTGTTTCAAAAGACAATAATTGACATTTTCGACTGGTAATTCCCTGCCGTGCTAGGACACTTTCAGACACTTGGTCATGATTTTGGACAATTTCGATCATGAGAGTTCGAACTTTATTTTCAGGAGTATAAATTTGTATAATTTGAACAGGTTCAACAATACTTAATTAATTTTGTTCAAAGTGATCGAATGTTTACTGTCAGCTCTTGTAAATTTAATCCCTTCTCATGGGAAATTATTAATCCTGGTTTCATAAAATTCATATGAGGATTACTTGTTTTTTTCCATATCAGAGTCTTGGAAAGGTTGTTTAAATTTCAGCCTTTTGGCCCTACCACTGGCCCCTATAGATCAAGGACTTCAGAATTTAGGTTCACCTTTGGCTATTGAATATTTCTGTGAAATTTCTTTAAATTGGGTAAGAAGAAGTTTTTGAGAAGAAGGAAACGTGCTGATTGTTTACAGATGTATGATGTTTAAAGGATGACCAGCATCTGACAAAAGGCAATTAAAATTGGTCCTTTGTGACTTTGTATCAGGTGACCTAAAAATTTCTGACAGTAACCAATGATCCTGCTCCAATATAAGTTTGATGAATTCACTCACCAAAATAAACCTTGTCCCTAAACCAAGAACAAGAATGTAAAAATGACAACTAGAGAACTCCACGTATCAATAAGCTCTCACCTTTTTGAGTGTACCATCTTTGGTCCCAAGAAAGAGAAGAACATTGTTGTTTTTGGTGGTGACAGCCACTGAGGTAAGGACAGTGTTATTAAACTTAATTATTGGCCTTTGGAAGATTGGGTTCCGACCCTGGATAGGACCATAGCGTCTGCTGTCATTGGTCTTTCCACAATAGTCAGGTTCACCAGTCTGTAACAGAATAAAGTAATATAATGATATGTGGAACCTTTTACATGAATTTCGATGTGACTCATGAAACAAGTCTTAGATTATTTTATTTTACTTAGTTTCTGGCTCATATAAAATGAAAATGCAAGAGTTTTCTTACTGTATGAAATAAAAACTAATGTAAGATTCTGTTTCTCATATCAAATGAAAAAAAATGTAAGATTCTATTGATCATATCAAATGAAAACTGATGAAAACTTGTCTTCCTCATATAAAATGAAAACAAATTAAAGATTCTATTTCTCATATCAAATGAAAACAAATGTAAGATTCTATTGCTCATATGAAACGAAAACTAATGAAAATTTGTCTTCCTCATATAAAATGAAAACGAATGTATGATTCTATTTCTCATATTAAATGATAACAAATGTAAGATTCTGTTTGTAACATAACATTCTTTTGCAAGCATTATTGAAAATAGTATTTTACATGACAAATGCAAAATTTTAACAAGCCATATTCTCATTGATCTCAATATTATCAATAAATATGATGGTATGAAGTTATGACTTCCATAATAGGCACAATAGGAACACTAAGCTAGGTTACTGATTTGTATTGAGAAAATGTTATGTTATGGTTGTTATTATACAGATAACGTGGAAATTATGTTGTAAATATAATACAGTAGACAAATTAGATTCTTTCATCTGTTAGCACTTCTCAATGTCTGTGATGTTAAATTTCAAAACCTGAATTTGTCTTCTATATTCTCTGACATTCTGCCTGTTTTCTGTTCAAAAGACATTTCAATCTGTTCTCTATACACAGACATCTCCATCTGTTCTATATACATAGACATTTCAATCTGTTCTCTATACACAGACATCTCCATCAGTTCTCTATACATAGACATTTCAATCTGTTCTCTATACACAGACATCTCCATCAGTTCTCTATACATAGACATTTCTGTCTGTTCTCTATACACATACATTTCTGTCTGTTCTCTATACATAGACATTTCTATCAGTTCTCTATACATAGACATTTCTGTCTGTTTTCTATACACAGATATTTCTGTCTGTTCTCTATAAACAGACATTTCCATATGTTCTCTATACACAGACATTTCCATCTGTTCTCTATAAACAGACATCTCCATCTGTTCTCTATACACAGACATTTCCATCTGTTCTCTATAAACAGACATTTCTGTCTGTCCTCTATACACATACATTTCTGTCTGTTCTCTATACACAGACATTTCTATCAGTTCTCTATACATAGACATTTCTGTCTGTCCTCTATACACATACATTTCTGTCTGTTCTCTATACATAGACATTTCTGTCTGTTCTCTATACACAGACATTTCTATCAGTTCTCTATACATAGACATTTCTGTCTGTTCTCTATACACATACATTTCTGTCTGTTCTCTATACACAGACATTTCTATCAGTTCTCTATACACAGATATTTCTGTCTGTCCTCTATAAACAGACATTTCCATATGTTCTCTATACACAGACATTTCCATCTGTTCTCTATAAACAGACTTCTCCATCTGTTCTCTATACACAGACATTTCCATCTGTTCTCTATAAACAGACATTTCCATCTGTTCTCTATACATAGACATTTCTATCAGTTCTCTATACATAGACATTTCTGTCTGTTTTCTATACACAGATATTTCTGTCTGTTCTCTATAAACAGACATTTCCATATGTTCTCTATACACAGACATTTCCATCTGTTCTCTATAAACAGACATCTCCATCTGTTCTCTATACACAGACATTTCCATCTGTTCTCTATAAACAGACATTTCTATCAGTTCTCTATACATAGACATTTCTGTCTGTTCTCTATACACAGACATTTTCATCTGTTCTCTATAAACAGACATCTCCATCTGTTCTCTATACACAGACATTTCCATCTGTTCTCTATAAACAGACATTTCTATCAGTTCTCTATAAACAGACATTTCTGTCTGTCCTCTATACACATACATTTCTGTCTGTTCTCTATACATAGACATTTCTATCACTTCTCTATACATAGACATTTCTGTCTGTTCTCTATACACATACATTTCTGTCTGTTCTCTATACATAGACATTTCTATCAGTTCTCTATACATAGACATTTCTGTCTGTTCTCTATACACAGACATTTCTGTCTGTCCTCTATACACATACATTTCTGTCTGTTCTCTATACATAGACATTTCTGTCTGTTCTCTATACACAGACATTTCTATCTGTTCTCTATACACAGACATCTCCATCTGTTCTCTATACACAGATATTTTGGTCTGTTCTCTATAAACAGACATTTCTGTCTGTCCTCTATACACATACATTTCTGTCTGTTCTCTATACACAGACATTTCCATCTGTTCTCTATACACAGACATTTCTATCAGTTCTCTATAATAGACATTTCTGTCTGTTCTCTATACACAGACATTTCCATCTGTTCTCTATACATAGACATTTCTATCAGTTCTCTATACATAGACATTTCTGTCTGTTCTCTATTCACAGATATTTCTGTCTGTTCTCTATAAACAGACATTTCCATCTGTTATCAATACACAGACATTTCCATCTGTTCTCTATAAACAGACATTTCCATATGTTCTCTATACACAGACATTTCCATCTGTTCTCTATAAATAGACATCTCCATCTGTTCTCTATACACAGACATTTCCATCTGTTCTCTATAAACAGACATTTCCATCTGTTCTCTATACATAGACATTTCTATCAGTTCTCTATACATAGACATTTCTGTCTGTTTTCTATACACAGATATTTCTGTCTGTTCTCTATACACATACATTTCTGTCTGTTCTCTATAAACAGACATTTCCATCTGTTCTCTTCACATAGACAGTTTTGTCTTACAGCTCTGTGTACATGACATTTCTGTTAAGCTATCAGGTCTATATGAAGAAGTTTAAATGCTCTACCGAAATAAGAAAAAAAAAGAAAAGGAGTTGTATGTATTGAACTGCCAAATGACATTTCCAGGAAATGTATTGTCTATCCTGCAGGTTGAATTGTTTGCATGTTTTAAGCCCTTATAATCTAGTAGGAAAGTTTTTAAGCACTAATGGCACACCAGCTATGACTGAACGTCTCCAATTTGATAGCAATTTGTAGCAGTGATAGACTGATGTGCGTTAAAGTGTTTCACGTTTTACAGGTTTTTTTCTGATTTCTCTCCAAGAACAAACTTTAAATCATTAATCTCCCTATGTAAGATAAAAAGTCACAGTGTCGATAGAAGGTTTCGGAGGCGGTGTTTCACTCTGATGTTTGCCAGTATTGCGGAGTAAATCACCAACAGTTGTATAGGCATGTCTTTTCAATTAACTTGATTTACATTTCTGATGAAATTAGCCAATATAAAATTGGAGAATTGTACATGAAACAAAAACTTAACCTCAGCCAGCAGCAATAGCCATTAATGTTGATGGTTATTTTCCTGGTCAAGTGACGAGGAATAACGAGATCTGTATGAATGTTATGGTACTAAAGTCAGACCAATTAAAACGGGTGCAAACCTCTATCACATGTTCCAGCCTTCCAAGATGGCTTATGAATTTTATATCCCTTTCATCTGATTATGAGTGAATGTACACCAGTGCTGGAATCTACTAAGTTTTTTGGTGGTGTAGATTACGGAATGCCAAACTTCCAACAGGGCTGCCTTTGATAGGGCCTGCCTTTTGCCTCCTGTCACTCCTGAAAGTGGCAATGGCAGGAATACCAGACAGAGCCTAGAATCCTTGTTCTTGTATTGTATTCCAAGAGATCATGGCATTCCACCCTAGGGGTGATACATCAAAGAAACATGCTAAATGTTGTCATCAGGAAACTCTTGGAAAGAACTGTTAATGGATACACTAAACTATGTATTTGTGTTTAATTTAGCATAAAACATTACATCTCGGAGATATGAAGATGACGATGATGATGGACTTATGTAATTAATTGTTAAAGTGGTACATATTACCCACCAATATGTTATATAGACCATGTTGATGAGCTTAATGAAGTACAAGTACTTTAAGTTACAGAAAAGAAAACAGATGTTAGTTGTCTACATAAACACCCAAGCATTGAGTGTAACAAAGAGATTACTCAATGTTATCTACTTAAATAATCATCAATATTGTCACTGTTGGGATGGGAGATAACTCTAGATAGACACAATGGTACATATATTGTGGGGAGACAAATGAAGAAAATGTTACATGTATTGTGAGGAAGAGACCTGGAGACATTGGCATCAAAGATCACAAACTTACGGTAGAAACATTACATTTTTGATGCCAACATGAAGGGAGGTAATTCAAGGTAAATATGCCAACATAGCCACATGGCTGCATGTTGTAATGCAGGGAAAATTTATTTTTTTGTGGTTTTATGTACTCACAACATCCAGGTTCATAAGAGGACAGTGTCCATGAATGAAGGGACAACTGGTAGACACTTTTATAATGCCTAGAAAGGGCAGTAACTCTAGAAAAAGATATTACAACATTGACCCCAATAGCATGGGAGAAAGGGCAGGAAGTTTTGATGATCCTGCAATACTGCAGGGAAGGGTCAAAACTCTAGGTACATGGATATATATGTAACTGGAAAGTGAGAAATGTGCCTTGGGATCAGACCTGTGACCTTTGAACTTACAAATTCACCACTTTACCTATCAAGCTAAAGGGAAATGACCTCTACACTGGAAGGTCACTGTATTTATGTACAATTAAAGCTTGTCACACATATCCATTGTTATTTGTGTAGGAAGAATTCAAGATTTTTAGGACAAAATTATTTCAATTTCAATTGACGAATACATATAGCCACCATACCTACAGGATCTTATTTGAATTTTCATTTCATATGAAATATTAAGAAACAAAGATTTTAATTTTGCAGTCAAGAAATGAAAACAAATTTAAAACACTTTTTACCTCATAACTTTGAAAATGAATCCAAGTTTCAATCACAAGACACCCAAAATATCCACAGTGAATGGGATATTTATTGGCCGACTAGTATTACCTCGGATGTGAAATTAGTCAGCCAATAAATACCGCACTCACTGTAAAATACTTTGGGTGTTGTGATTGAAACTTTTTTGCAGTAATTTTTATATTCTATTTCAATGCCCTGCATACATTTTGTAATCCACACCCAACGTGCAGCATCCCACTTATCAACCAACTCACTCTAAACTAAAAGTTATAATCAAAATGTGGAGGACAAAATCAAACACAGGCAGCCATTTGATTAAAGTCATGACATCATTGCCCATATCATAACATCATTATTTATTTCTGACAGGTGCAGCTAATAAAAAAAGTTCCACAGTATGTTATACAAGTGGCATATGTAAAAATATTACAAGGGTATATCTAGTCAATAACAGGTGGATTGATGTGACAAATTTTATTCTTAGTAGTGAGTTGTACATGTATGATTCTACAACAATACCTTTAGGTAAGGTGCCTTTTGTTCTAACCATTCAAAGACAGGTAAGATTACTAT